GACCATAATATGTCTTCTTCTCTGATCTCTTCCCCAGTTAGCCAAATGCAACGAACTCCAATAGTGGTGACAAGGGGAAAGGATAGCAACTGCTTAATTATAAAATTGGATTTACTCATAGTACGAATTGTTATGTTCAGTCTTTTAAATGTGAATACAGATAGTTCTTGACTTAAAATGATTCATTTAGTGACAGATCTCCACGGGAAGGTAAACTGTTCCATGCGACTCGGCATATAGTCATGCTGGCCACATGATCTCAGAAATGTCTTTGGGCAAAGTTGGCTCTCTTGGCTAAGAAACAGAGATGAGCAGTACCCCCTAGAGTTGGAAACAAATGGACAGGAGAAACATTTACCTTTACCTACTAGTCCCAAAGATGTTTTTTTCAAGAGGCAATTGGGCTTTCTGTTTTTCCTTTTCTTTGAAGACCTTTTGCTTCTCATCTAAAAAGCTTCTTGGATGAGAAGCGAAACATCTTCAAAGAAAAGGGGGAAAAAAGTCCAGTTGCCTCTTGAAAAAGCACCTTTAAGACAACCATGACCTGGATGACTGAGAATCTCTATAGACTTTACCTAGGGTAAGAAGAATAAATACGCATTAATCATTTTAAAAGAAAATAGTTTTTTGGGGGGGAGGGGTGTCGTTATTTTTAAACAAAACTCCTTCCACAACATTTCAGTTTTCCAGGTTTGTGGGAGCAGGAACGGACAAAAAGGGCCTGGAGGATTCTTCACTCACCTCTATTTTATATAACATGAGCTTATTCATGAGGATTTACCCTGTTATTTCTGTTTTTGAAATTGTAGCTACTTGATCAATGATTTATCTGTTGCACCACAATGAATGTGGTTTGGAAGCTGCATGTGGCCCAGCCCTATTTTATACAATTAGCGTTGGCGTCTCATTGGCTTATTTTGTGGCTTTTGTTGATTAGCACACGTTTTCTTTTCAACAAAGAGGGAAGTGATGTTGCGAGCAATCCCAGCCTTTCGAAAGATTAGTTAGTCCCTCTAATCTTTCTGCCTGGACCTAAGTTCTGGATAGGATCTCTTCTGTCCTCTTAATTTGCCTAGAAGCTGTTATTCCCATCAGCTGATATCTGCCTGACTATTTCTCGTGGTGTGTGTATGTGTGCGTGCACATATGTTAGAGGGAGTTTCAGGAAGGGTAGGGCTTCATTTCCACTGGAAGTAATAACAAGGGAGCTATTTACAATTAGGATGCTGCCCTGCCAGACCCAGGGACCAAAGCCGTTACATCAGAGGCTCTATCTGTCACAAACATGATGCCTGCTGTATGCCAGGCTTATGTTGCTGCTTAATAAAATACTCTGCTTGTATTATTACTGCGTACTTGTTCGGACTGATTTTTGGTATCAAAGAAAAGGATTGTTTTGGATGGAGTTTTCAGAAAGATGGGTACCTTGGCTTCAAACTGGCTTAGGAAAACCCTATCTCTGCCTAAGGTAAGTCTTAGTTTAAGGCCAGATATGGGGGGGGGGAGGTATATGTGGCAAGGAGATGCCAAATTGTACTCTGTGCTACTCTCTGAGGGTAAGTGGGAAATAATATTGACTATCTACCAAAAGGAATATGCATTCCTGTTTGGTCCTCAGTTGGCAGGATAGAATTTTTGGATCAGAGTTTAGGATTTTAGGATAATTATAGGAAATGTGGGGAAGATTGCCCGGCCTATTGATCTGATTATAGATAGGTATGTTCATAAAATTTTTGGCTTGGTTACATCTTGTGGGTTCATAATGTATGTTGATTGCAATCTATGCAGACTGGTTTTGGAAAAGGGATAACCAAGGTTTGTGTGTTGTAATTTAGCCAGCATGTTTTTAAAATCAGATCCCTTTCCAAATCTACAGGGTGTGGAAAAGGTAGTTAATGTCTATGCATTAATACAAGCCAGGTAATATTGTTTCATTGGAGAAAGAACATTGTTTTCTATTTGTAAAGCACTAACTTCCGCAGAAAAAAATGTAAATGTGCATTTTGTATGTATGTGATAATATTTCACATCCATGTCTATGCATGTTCATTTAAAGAATTTGTGCATCCATCTGCACATGTATGAAAAAAAAACTATTCATAACATATATAAAAGAGAATGCTTAACTTTGTATTAGAAAGTGAAAGAAGGTGCATAGTATCACTCTGAGCCATCTGCATTACATTTACTTTAAATTAAAATGCTTCCAAAATTTTCATTGAATTCTAAAGTTCTGTAACAAAGTACTTTCATCTTGTTCTAAAATAGACCAGATGTATGAAGTATTGTTTATTCTGATCACTTTTGCGAGCTTTTGTCTATTTATAAAAGACAACAGTTTTAATATTTTAGAATTGTAAACTGCCCAGAATTACCTAGTAAAGATGGGTGGCCCTAGAATAAAATAGTAAAATAAAATAATCTTCACCTTAATTCACTGTCCCCTTATGAACCATCAGATACACTGGAAGTGCACAGAGGTACCTTGGTAAAACAAGAAAAGATGGACCTGATAATATTGGCAGTATTGGATTTTCTAGGTTTGGTGCGGCCATTCTCCAAATGCAATAGTTCAAGAGTTTTAATAATATTTTCTACTTTTCAGAAAAGTAGACTGTGTAATCCTGCTGCTTTATATGTGTTTGATTCTCATTCTATGTTTCAAAGCTCTGGGATAGAGTCATTCTTGAAATGAATATGCATAGCTTTTGCAATATTGCTAAAAACTCATTATGTAGCAAATGACAATCCAGTCTGGGGTTCCCAAGGAGAAGAGCATAAAAACCTGTATTTGATATCAACACTATTTGGTGTCCTTCCTGATTCACACAACATGCTAGACTAGGAGAAAATAATAGGGTTGGGTAGTTTGCAGTTCGTGTTATGCAGTTAGGCAGTCTTTTATCTTAGCAAGGCCATCAAGTGAAGCTAGAGCAAGACAGTCTATGAGATTGGGCATAGTCTCCCAAGTTTTGAGTTTCATCTCCTTAATGCCCAAGATCATGTTGTTGAAATTGCCTGGCAACATGTGTAAATCTGATTGATGCATATTTTTGTCCTTTATAGGCAGGTGAAGATGGAAATGGGAATAGAAATTGTTTTTTTTCTGGAAGGCTTCCTGCTTCTGAACTTGTTAGCTACTTGCTAAATCCAAAAAATATCAGGCTAAATGGGATGGCCTCCTGTGACCCTTGCAAATTAGGATGCTAAATTGCAGCACGTGTCCCTGTGAATGTTGCCCACTCTTGAGTGAAGCCAACATCTAGATCGTTTCCTTGGGAACAGCTGTGTAAATATCCCAATTGGGTGTGGTTAACTCAGCTTTAGAATTTTAATGTGAAATGGACCCAGCCCATGAAATAATTTTGTCTTGTGTGCATCACTAGAGGTTTTTAAGAAGAAGTGGAACAGCCATTTGTCCAGAATGCTTCACTAGGAGGTTGGACTAGAAGACCTCTAAAGTCTCTTCCAACTCTGTTATTCTGATGGAATGGGACAAACTCATCCATATCTCTCTAATGAAAATGTAACATCTTGTAAGAAAAATAGGATAGGTACCTAACCATGAATTGTATTTGGGAATCCATCATGGGAATTAATTTTGGTTTATCACAACTATAAAGGTTCAGAAAGAATAAACCCATTTGAAATTCTAAAATGTATAGATTGATAGTTTTAAAAGTATGAATCACTGGATAAAGTTAACTTGATATTTTTAATTTATTGTATTTTCTATATATCATGCTTCTTTGTCTTCACTGCTTTATATGATTACTTATAATTCAGCTAGTATTTGAAAGAAAATGATTGGTTTTAATGATATAAATTAACCCCACATATGTATACACCCCCCACACCCACACTCTCACACAACCTCATGTATTTCTTTAATTCGAACCCCCACTTAGTCTTCCTGCTGGGGTTATGAAGTCACTGAATAAAATAAGCACACAAGGAATTTGGGGAGTGGGGGGAAGAATGGGAACAATGTATAAATAGACACCTCCTGCTCCAGCAATGTAGACATTTCCTCCTGATATTTTGTTCTGGGAAAGTTTTGGATAAGGCAAAGCAGAGTACAGTTCTAGGGACATGAAGAGATCTTGTTATGTATTATAATACATTCTACTGGTGCTTAGTAAGATCATGTTTCTCCAGGAGAGATCTAAAGGATTCTGTGAAATTGCCTTCTCTGAATCTGCAGTACTTGCTGGTTTATTCTAGAATTAAATCTAGAAGCCAGATTTCATTCAATCCTCCTCCCCCGCTTCTAATCTATAAATGCTACTGGAGGTTGAATTCTTCAGAAGAACACTAACTGTAAAGGTCTGCTTTGTTCAGTGTAGTTTAAGATTGCAACTTATAAAGTTTCCAAGTCTTTTTAAAAACTGGATTTATCTCCATTCCTTGTTCACAAATGTTGCTAAGAGATTATGCTACTATCAGATAGCATAGTTTTCTTTTTCATGCCTACATATTCCCTCCACTTTTCTAGGGACACTGTCAGAAAAGATCTGTAATTAAGTGTAAGCATCTTACTGAAACACCCCTCCCCCCAATATATTTAATATCTTCTACTCGAATTTTGATACAGATGGGAACATCAAATTGGGACTTGCTCTGGATTTTATTTTCTCCACTTCTCTGATTTTTCTCCTGTGTTATCTTTAATGAGTATCTTCAATATGTTATGAAATGCAACACTATGCAATTGTGTAACTGCAGAGAAATGAGAAAACAGCACTTTAAAAATAAATTCTCCAACCAGGGAATATGGGATGTTTTTCAAAGTGGGAGATTTATAGTACTTTTTATATGCCACCACAAATTCACAACCCCTCCTATCCCAACACACATCAGATGTTAACTTTGCTATTCATATGGGGTTTTGAAAATCAGCAGAGGCTCGGTTTCTTCAGTTTTTCTGCTAATTGTGTCAATCTGTGATGGACAAATATGACATTTTCCTCTTTATCTCCCTCTCAATTTTTCTACCTTAGGTATTTTCAAGATCCCCTCAAATTATGCAGGCACAACGTAAACCTTCAAGGTAAACCTCAAGAGTTGACAAGATTTTTGTACAAAGTATCTTATCTATGGAGCTCCAACCACTGTGATATTAGTACCATTTATGTTTCAACCTTGTTGTAAATTGATATGGAAAACAAAAGAAAGAGAGACCAGATTAGACTGTGAAGCTGCACTCAATGGTCAACCAATGTCTTCAGGAAACGCACAGGAGGACATGAACCTTATAGCATCAACAGTTCTAATTCCAGAAATTACTATTCTGTACTATTCACTACTTTCAACTCTGGAGGAACATGATGTGTTGTAGAACCCAAAAGTTTTGTCTTCCATGAATTTTATACTTACACAGAACCATTAGTATAGATCTGTGTTTCTCAACCTCAGCAACTTTGAGTTGTGTGGACTTCACCTCCCACCATTGTTGAATGAATAATTCTGGTTGGGGGATCTTGGGAGCTGAAATCCACATCTTAAACTAGCTGAGGTTCAGGAACATGGATGTAGATGTTATTCTACTTCATAGAGAGTCTCTAATTCAGCAACATTTGTCTCACAATAGTTTTATAAGTGCTAGTAGACTATTCGTTGCGTTTACTGAACATTTAGTTCTTTGCTACCCATTTGTACAAATTGCTTAATTTTGATGTATTCATGTTAGATTTGTATTCTGATCTACCATCAGGAATTCAAGGCAATATACTCTGCACACCCTCCTCATTTTTCCTTGTCGCCTTCTCCTCATCCTATAATGCCTTAGGACTTCTTGAAATGAGTATCTGGCGATGTATTTTCCCTTCTGCCGTGATCTCTGGGAATCCCTTGGTTTCATATCCTATTTAATCCCAGCCATACTTCTTTATGGAAAAGTGATCTATATTTACCAGCATTTTAATTAAAAAAGGAAGCTACAAATACCATCTTGCAGAAAAGTGTAATTTTGAAAGGAGTATGCTGTTTCCCCAATTCAGATTCAAAAACGTACATACAAGGAAATTTAATTAAACGTTTTCGTGGAAAAAAAATGTTGAGAACAGAATCTGAGAAGCCAACTTGTTAACACTCCAAGAACACACTTTAGAATTGACAACACAATAAAGTAAAAAAGTGCTTGCTGATGTGTACAAAGGCAGATCCTTCACAACTTAACATCTTATATCTCAACTGTTGATTATTGAGTTGTTTTTCTTTGGCCTAGGAACTTGAGCCTAAACCAGGCCATGGAAGACACTTGTGAACTAGACCTGGTATATGTCACAGAACGGATAATTGCTGTCAACTTTGCAAGTTTGTCAGAAGAACAAACCTTTTGCAGCAACCTGAAGGAGGTGGCTCAAATGCTTAAATCCAAGCATGGGGACAGTTACTTGGTAAGAACTTTGGAAGGCTGTGACTCAATTTCATAACTTGCTTTAAAAAACTTTCCAAGAAGGGAATGTTTTCTGGAATTCTGTCTTGGTAGTTTACTCCAAAAAGAGTTGTAATATCTTATGGATACTGACCTGAATTTTTTTCCAGAACTTATTTTTTTTCTAATTATCCTTATTGCATGAATTGTTATTTTGTGATATGGCATCCCTTTGCCAATTCATCCATTCACCTTTATTATCAATTCTGAAAACTATGTTTTATTATGAGGTAACTCTTAACAGGGCCAAGATCCTAAAAACAAAACAAAACAAAAACATTGTCTGTCATAGTTTCTTTTCAGTTTTCATTTCAATGAGCTGCATGCAATATAATTAGACTGCTTGGTGATGTCAGTAATGAAAAACTTAAAAATCCATATTTGAAGTTTTTCAAAATTTGGAAAGACAAAATTTTGTGTGTAGGTATTTCACTGACCTGAAACGATGTATTTTTGTTGTCTGGGTGTTTTTCACCATTCTGTACAAAGCCCAAGGTAAACCACACAAGCTAAATCTTCTAATCTTGTATATTTCTCTTCTCTCAGCTTCTTAATCTGTCAGAGAGGAGACATGACATCAGCAAACTGCATTCCAAGGTATGGTGGACTGTTATTAAGCAAATAATATTTCCAGTAGAGTGGTTAGATGAGAAAGGGAACTGGCCCAGGACAGGGGTGTCAAACCTGCAGCCCGTGGGCCAGATGTGTCACGTGCTGGTCACACCCACCCTGTTTTAGCGAAGGGATAAAAGTCACAATACATCACGTGAAGGCAACATGATGAGAGTTTGACACCCCTGGTCCAGGACAAAAACCCATTTATAACTTTTTCACAGCTACAAATTAGTTACCAAGTACATTACATATACTATCCTATGGATTTATTACCTTATCGTGTCCTTTGATTTTTTCCCGCCCACAACATCATCTTCTTTCATCCTTAGTAATTAAAGTAGTAAATAAAAATAACTGTATTCACTCATTGAATAATGAAATACATTCCGTAAACAGGTATTGTATTCCCTCAAATTTGAGGTCATCAGAACCTTGGGGTGCACCTGTGGACACCTGTAACCAGAAATACAGTATGTCTGCAGGACCTCATGATAAAACTACTTAATGTGATGTTACAAACATTTTTCAAGAGGTTGGCGGTCTTTATCTGAAATCCCATGAAACCGCAAGGAGTCAAAATGCCACAGGTCTGCTAGAGTTTGTACATTTTAAGGTGTTCTTCCTTCTCCATTAGTGACGACTCAGTGAAAATGAATTTGTGAGCATTCTGTAATTCAGGAAAAACCAGCTTTTGGAGCCTAGGTTCCAAAATCCCAAACCGTTTCTCAGAATGGAGAAATCAATGTTTGCTAGGAAACGAACATGTCTGATTCCAGTTGCTATTTTGAATAATAAAAGAAGTGGCTTCAGTTGCCAAGGAAGGCGTGGGTAGATTTATGTACATTGATTGTGTAAATTTTCCTGTATGCATCTTTTTGACAGCTAGACAGTGCACAGTATCTGCAAAAGAAAGGCTATAATTTTTTTCAGACCCTGAAATGAAGAAACAGGCTCCACTGTTTACATATGATTCATTGGACTACATTCTAAAAAGTTAATGTTAACTATGAAGCCATGATCAATTTCATTTACTGTAAACTTACAGTCTTTTAAGACCACAGCCAAGGCAGCAGCTCCACTTCTCTTGAGCTACTTTTTGCCTCCTAATTGGGTAATCATGGAGAGCTGCCTCCTCTAGGTGTATCCCATTCATTTTTAGCCATTAATTACATTGTGTAGCCATTGTCTTTGTCATCCAAAGAGGTTGTTCTGCAAGCTACAGCCAGCACTTGCCTCTGCTCTAAATTCTGGAAATGGTCCTAGCATTGTAATCTAGGTTTGCCACTATATTTATCAGGTGATTATGGCCAGAGGTTATTCAGACTGAATTAGCAAGCTAGAGGAACAGAAAAGAGGAATGAAAGGTGAACACTATGACTAAGAGGCAGAGAGAGGAACAGGAGCCTTTTACTAAAGTGGAATGCAGCAATAATACATGGAAAAGTGAGATGAATTATACATTGCATTTCATGGCATTTACTTCCTTGATTACTCAGTTTTCGTACAATACATTTAAAGCAAGAAATTCAATTATTTATTTCAAACAACCTCGTTATTTCAATGTTAAAGAAACAAATCCCAAAGCTTATGGGATAGTAATTTGCTAAAATCTTCAGAGATGTCATGACAGAAGTTTTCATGTTCAGAGTCAATCAACACTCATCTCCCCCTCTACAGCCGAGGTGGCACAGTGGTTAGAGTACAGTACTGCAGGTTACTTCCCTTGACTGCCAGCTGCCTGCAATTTGGCAGTTCCAATCCAATTCTTCAGCTCTGAGCTGAAGAAGCTTCTTGGATGAGAAGCAAAATGTCTTCAAAGAAAAACCAGAAAGTCCAGTTGCGTCTTGAAAAAAGCAACTTTGGGTCTAAGATTAGTAATTGTTTTTCTGAGAAGGAAGTTACATTTTTACTTAAAACTAATGCCGATTCTCCTTTGCTTTCTCTACTTTTCAATCAACTAATAGAAAATAATGTGCTCCTTTGACAAAATACTGTACTGATGAAGTTACTAGATGAAGATGGAGTCCTGGTTTTGACTTAAGATATCCCCAGGTGATTAGACAAGATTGTTACCAAGGACTCACTATTGGACAAAATCTTAATATATCATTGCCATTTCCATGGACAGGAAATTTCCATTTTGAGGAAGCTGCTGTCTTGGAAATTGATGAGCTGTGAAAACACCCAGAAGGAAACTAAAAGTTCGTTTATAGCTAATTAACCCATTCGGCGGGTCACATGCTTGACCTCGTATTCCTCTCGGAGCAGTGGATTTGTGACCTTGGTCTGAGGGGTAACGA